GGTTCCTCTACTGTTGCTGATGTTCCTCCTCAAAGGGATGTCATCAATGATGTACCCTCTCCTTCAAGTTTCTTAGACCTGGTGTACTTGTAGTGTCTGGACTTGCATTTATTTTCTTTTTTGTAAGCAGTGATCATGTTTTCTTGGTACAGTACCTGTACAATACAGTACTGTGTTTAAACTTGGGTCCCATTTCCAAGCTATCCTATTTTATGGATGCAAATACATAAACAAATATTCCAAAATCTGAAAAAATCTGAAATCAGAAACACTTCTGGTTCCAAGCATTTTGGATAAAGGATTTTCAATTGTATCAACTTGCTGTATTACAAAACCAACAAGTAGATGAGCAAGACACATGTGCAACACAGGTATCCTTATTGTGGAGATGTTTTGCCAACCAGTGGCTTCATCAGTCCAGTATATAAAATAAATAGTGAAGAGGTAATTTGAGGCATTCACTCCTTCAACATTGATAACTTGGTTAGTTGAACAGGGGCAACAGGTGTAAAGGAACATTCTCTACATTACCTACCCCAGGATTGAGCCATCTTTACTTGTCGACAATTTCAGGGGAGTCTATCCCTGGGACCTGGTCCCAGGCCAGGCCTGCTAGTTGATAGCCTGATCAGCAAGACTGATGGTGCTAGCCACACAGTCCAATGTATGCACCACAGCCCAGCTGATCAAGATCTGACTTAACAAATTTAATATGCTTCCTGAAGACAGTGAGGGATCTATAGGTAATTATCCTTCTGTATGAAGGGAGGATGTTGACAAGACTTGGTTCCATCACACCTAATGAGTTATCTCTTGGTGTACTCATTGTACCTCATTTTTCATTGGAATATTTTGCACCATACACTTGAGCACCTTTCACTGTGCAGATTAGGGACCAGTCCCTCCAGATTTTCCAGCTGTAAATTATGATGTATCTTTTTTGCATTTGTTTCAGGGAGTACACTTCAAGAGACTTCATTCACTCATGGTAATTTAGGTGCTTGACTGAATTGATATAGGCAGTAAAGGTTCTCTACATTCTCCAGATTTTCAGTTTTGCCTGCCTTAGAAGGGGGTTAAGCATCATTTTCCTTGCAGTTGCTGTGTTGTATGACCCTTGTGGTTTAGCACTTCTTTATGATAATAATAATTTCCTTGCAGTTGTGATAACACTTTTGATCCTTGAATATAATTTCTGTCTGCATATATTACTCTTAAGTTCCTCAGATTAATGCTTTAAGGAGTGGTTTTGATTTTGTTTTATACTCCATCCCAATTTTTGTCTTTGTTTTATTCACAGTGGAGTAATTGAAAAGTATCCTCATTGAACATGTTGTTTTTCATGGTTAATTGGAAGACTTGGTTTATGTTGTCATGGAGACTTATTTTATCATCAGTGGATGCCAGTCTCATTTAAACTATTAATATCTGCAAAAGATGATAGATATGATGCTACAATTTGCCTATGGAATATGAGAATGAAAGAGAACTGGGGAGTGTGCTGTACCTTGAGGAACAGAGCATTTCACTGTGGCAGCCTCAGATTTAATTTCTTCACAGCCTGAACTTCAACTATTATACAGGATGGTCCCGCATATACAGCACCCTCTTTTCGGTGCTCCATGTTTTCATTGGCTTTCAGTTAAGTCATTCTTCATCATATTTGGTGATTTTACTGCTTTTCTGTTGTTTTTATGCAACAGTTGTGTAAAGGAAGGGTGACCGGCACCATATTTTGAGGTAAATATTATATGTACATATGCATTTATTTTACTTTTTTATCTATTTTTTTATGCATAACTGTATTGAGCACTTAATATATGATAATATAAACATGCTATCAATTTTTTTAGATGAATTCAATAATGAAAACCTGAACTTTTCCACCTGCCAGTGATTTTCGCGTACCCTATGGGAGCATGAACCTAAAAGCCATACAAATGGGGCCTGCCTGTACATCATTTGCAGTGTTATATAGCTCGATGCAGATAACAGTCTTTTTTAACATAGACTCGTCTATCTCCCCTTGTATTTAGTTTTTTTGGTTGTTGTTTTTTTTTTAAAATTAACACATCGTATGATTCCCACCAAGGCAGGATGGCCCGAAAAAGAAAAACTTTCATCATTATACACTCCATCACTGTCTCGCCAGAGGGGTGCTTTACGCTACAGTTATAAAACTTCAACATTAACACCCTTCCTTCAGAGTATATACACTGTACTTCCCATCTCCAGGACTCGAGTCCGGCCTGCCGGTTTCCCTGAATCTCTTTATAAATGTTACTTTGCTCACGCACGCTTGCTGGAAGTCCAAGCCCCTTATACACAAAACCACCTTTACCCCCTCCCTCCAACCCTTCCTAGGCCAACCCCTACCCCGCCTTCCCTCCACTACAGATTTATACACTCTCGAAGTCGTTCTGTTTTGTTCCATTCTCCCTACATGTCCGAACCACCTCAGCAACCCCTCTTCAGCCCTCTGGATAATAGTTTTGGTAATCCCACACCTTCTCCTAATTTCCAAACTATAAATTCTCTGCATTATATTCACACCACACATTACCCTCAGACATGACATCTCCACTGCCTCCAGCCTTGTCCTCGTTGCAACATTCATCACCCATGCTTCACACCCATACAAGAATGTTGGTACAACTATACTCTCATACATTCCCCTCTTTGCTTCCACGGACAAAGTTCTTTGTCTCCACAGACTCCTAAGTGCACCACTCACCCTTTTCTCCTCATCAATTCTGTGATTCACCTCGTCCTTCATAGACCCATCTGCCGACACGTCCACTCCTAAATACCTGAACACATTCACCTTTTTGGTTGTATCTGCATGATTGTACCCAGGTATCTAGTTCATTGTCAATGTAGGCTTTAATATTAGTGTGTGAATGCCGCAAACATTATTTTTGACTCAGTGAAGATTCCACTAATAAACAGTATTTTCCTTGTCATTTAGTTTAAGACTATATGTTTGCAAACAAATGATGTTATGTTATTTGTTGTTTTGCTTGGGAGAGGGAGTTTGTTGGCATTATGCAGCTCTAATGTGCCACCCACTGGCTTTGTTTCCATCCATTATGGTTCTGAGGTAATGATACATTCTTATCATTTTTTTTTTTTTTACCATTTTTTCACTTCCTGGCATTAAAAAAGTCTCTTATGTATATATGGTTGTAATTTCCATGTTCATTTTGATGTTCGAGGGACTTCACTTATCTTATTCCCTTCATGTGGAATGCAGGGCAGTTTGTATCATAACATTTTTAACACCTGCCATTTGGTAAAAAAAACACTCTTGTAGAGAGGAATATTATTGAGACATTTTGCCTGTGGACAGACTTCTTCAGTTAATACACAGGTATGAACATCATGCATAGTCAGGTGAGTGGTTAGGTCTGAGAGATCACTGTGTGAGGTGTATTGTGTGATGGAAGCACTGCAGGAGGCCTACCAGTCCTTCCCATGACCTGTTCATGTAAGATGAGGTGTGGTACCAGTTTGGCTAAGTTGAAAGCTCCTTGATTCTGCTGGGTTGTCTTTTATGTTTAGAGTAGCGCAGCTTTCAGGCATCCCTGTCATGTTTTGTTAATTTCTTTTATGACCAGCTGGGTATTCTTGCAGGATGTGAGGTGGGCAGTCTGGTCCTTATTATCACTGATCTTTCAGTTTAGCCCAGACCTGTAACGTAACTCGCCTTGGGAGATTCTGAAGAGAAGTTGCAGAGGTTGGTGGATGAGTTTGGTAGGGTATGTAAAGAAGAAAATTGAAAGTGAATATGTATAGTCAAGAGTAAGGTGATGCAGATAAACAGATTAGGTAACAAAAGATTGGATATCAGGTTGGAGGGAGAAAGTATGAAGGAGGTGAAAGTATTCAGATATTTTGTAGTTGACATGTCAGCAGATGGGTCTACGAAAGATAAGGTGAATCACAGAATTGACGAAGGGAAAAAGGAGAGTGGTGCACTGAGGAATCTGTGGAGATAAAGAACTTTGTCCATGGAAACAAAGAGAAGAATTTATGAAAGTATAGTTATACGAACGCTCTTATATGGGTGTGAAGCATGGGTGGTGAATGTTGCCAGGAGGAGTAGGCTGGAGGCAGTGGAGATGTAGTGTCTGAGGACAATGTGTGGTGTGAATATAATGCAGAGAATTTGTAGTTTGGAAATTAGGAGGTGTAGGATTACCAAAACTATTATCCAGAGGACTCGGGAGGGATTCTTGAGGTGGTTCGGACATGTAGAGAGGGTGGAACAAAATAGAATGACTTCGAGAGTGTATAAATCTGTAGTGGCAGGGTAGAGGTTGGCCTAGGAAAGGCTGGAGGGAGGGGGAAAAGAAAGTTTTGTGTGAGGGGCTTGGACTTCCAGCAAGCATGCATGAACGTGTTAAGATAGGAGCAAATGGAGACAAATGGTTTTTAGGACTTGACGTGCTGTTGGAGTGTGAGCAAGGTAATGTTTATGAAGGGACTCAGGGAAACCAGCAGGCCGGACTTGAGTCCTGGAGATGGGAAGTACAGTGTCTGCACTCTGAATAAGGAGTGTTAATATTGCAGCTTTATAACTGTAGTGTAAGTGTGCCTCTGGCAAGACAGTGATGGAGTGAATAATGGTGAAAGTTTCTCTTTTTCGGGCCACCCTACCGTGGTGGGAAATGGCCAATATGTTAATAAAAAAAAAAAAAAAATCTAAAAGCAAATACATTTTATTAAGATTCAATATACTGTAATAATATTACATTATCTGTATAAGTAAACAAAAGCATATAAATATTAAAAATTGTGCAAAGATCTAAAGATACTGGAGGAAGAACCTGTCCCTAACATTTATATTTAATATTTTATATTGATTTAATCTTTTAAAAATACAAAATATTGGAAGACTTCCATGGAAGCTATAATTTAATTTTTCTGTACACACCAATAATAAGTATTATTTTTTACAAGGAGCTTTAATTAAACACCCTTATTACTAAGAGAAAAAAAATAAAACCTACAACAAGTCAAAGTGAATGAGTGACAGCGAGAGTGTGAGAGTGAGTGTGAGTGTGTGTGAGAGGCAGACAGGTGGGAGTTCCTTTAGGCAGGTGGGTGGGTGGGTGAGAGGGCGTACATGTATGCGTGTTTTGTTTTCATAGAAATACTAAGCTATGCCCATTTGTTCTCAGACACTTATTTTAATAAAAAAATTATAAAAATTGTTGACATAATATTATTGACACCCATGGCAATCTAGGAACAATCGTGAAAATATTGGTTTTGTTTCTGTGCAAATTTTGTTTTGCACAGATTTTATCATCCTTTAAGGAAGACACAGTGGTTGTACAGTTTCGTATGGAAGACGAGTTATTTTGACTTGAAAAAGACATTCATTAACTTGAGTCCACAAGCTATAGTTTCTGTTGTATCCCTTTGTTTTTTTTTTTTTTTATCCTGAGTCATAATAATTCTCTCATTATTGTTCCATAATTATGCCTATCTAATTCTTTATATTTCATCTCTAGCTGCAAATGAATATTGTAAATTTCCTACTTCATAAACAATGACTTACATTTATGAGATTCAGTTTTATTAAAAACTATTATTTTGAGTTAGCTAAAGTCTAGTGGAAGAGCCTAGTAAAACAACATAAAAGACATGAAAACATGCATCAACAACTTCATTCAAACTAGTTTTCCAGTGCACTACATACAACATATATTTTCCCAAAAGTTTCATATTCGAGCTAATATATTCATGATGTGCAAGGTTACAGCACATTTGTCAGGTAATCTTCATATGCATTATTAACTGTATTCAGCATAACTAAAATTCTTAAATTCATTTATTCTCAGGTATAGAGTTGTAGTGATATCAGCGGAGGCCACCCACATATGAAGATGGAGGCGGCGTACTTGATGCAGGAGAATATGTCAGAGAATTTAACACGGCTGACATATGAGACAATTTGTTTTGCAGTGCTAATGGCAGTTTGTCCTTCACTTCAAATGTTGTAGCTACACCAGAAGCATCGGTGAAGATCACTTTGGGAGAGTTACTGCTTACTTCAACCTGCGTTCCATCCAGATACTCCACACACACTACACCATTACGGCCCTGGTTTTGGTAATAAAATGATAAATGCTATCATTACCCTAAACATCATGATTTGAAAATCAGTTTCCTTGCCTCACTGACTACATTTCATATACCAGTACTGAACTGAACATCTTTTCAAATTTCCTATTCAGTTAGTAAAATTACATGAACTAATTACATGAACTAATCTATTACATACACTGTATCTTGCATGGGTTACCCCATATCAAATATGCACAAGTAACTGTCAGTGGTTCTCCATGGGGTAGTGGAACGGAATTCTTCCTCCGTAAGCCTTGCGTGTTGTAAGAGGCAACTAAAATGCTGGGAGCAAGGGCCTAGTAACCCCTTCTCCTGTATAAATTACTAAATTTAAAAAGAGAAACTTTCGTTTTTCTTTTGGGGCCACCCTGCCTTGGCGGGATACGGCCGGTTTGTTGAAAAAAAAAAAAGACTGTCAGTGGTACAGTTCATCCAATTTCACTGAAACCTAACAGATTTATTGCTCTCTGAGATTTCAGTAATTCTTACAGTTATTCTGGTATATGTCCCCTAAACTGGAAGTGGAAGCAAATCTGTATCTTTATATCTTCCCTTCATAGTTTCCCTTTGTTAAGGTGGCAGCCACAAACAGAAACACTCCTAGAAACTCTGGTAAATTTAAAGATTTTTTTTTTAAACATATCGGCCATTTCCCACCAAGGCAGGGTAAGCCAAGAAAGAAAGAAAAAACTTTCATCATTCAACACTTTCACTGTCATTCATACATAATCATTGTCTTTGCAGAAGTGCTCAGGTATGACAGTTTAGATGTCACTCCAAACAGTCAATATCCCAAACACCTCCTTTAAAGTGCTGGCATTGTACTTCCCACTTCCAGGACTCAAGTCTGGCTAACCAGTTTTCCTGAATCCCTTCACAAAATATTACCCTGCTCACACTCCAACATCTCGTCAGGTGCCAAAAACCATTTGTCTCCATTCACTCCTAACACACTCACACACGCTTGCTGGAAGTCCAAGCCCCTCGCCCACAAAACCTCCTTTACCCCCTCCTTCCAACCTTTCCTAGGATGACCCCTACCCTGCTCTCCTTCCACTACAGATTTATTTGCTCTACAAGTCATTCGACTTGATTCCATCTTCTCTAAATGACCAAACCACCTCAACAGCCCCTCTTCAGCCATCTGACTAATACTTTTATTAACTCCACATCTCCTCCTAATATCCACACTACAAATTCTCTACATAATATTTACACCATGCACTGCCCTTAGACATGACATCTACACTGCCTCCAGCCTCCTTACTGCAGCATTTACAACCCATGCTTCACACCCATATAAGAGTGTTGGTACCACTATACTCTAGTACATTCATTTCTTTGCCTCCATGGAAAACGTTTTTTGTCTCCACAAATATCTCAAAGCACCACCCACCTTTTTTCCTTCATCAATTCTATGGTTAACCTCATCCTTCATAAACCCATCTGCTGATAAGTCAACTCCCAAATATCTGAACACATTCACTTCTTCCATACTCCCTCCCTCCCATGTGATATCCAATTTTTCATTTGATACCCTCATCATCTTACTCTTATCCATGTTCACTTTCAACTTTCTTTGTTTACAATGATCAACCTACAATAATACAGTAGAACCCCTGTATCCATGGATTCCATTTCTGTAGTTTCAGTTATCCGCTGTTTACTGTGACCCAAAAATAAGTCTTAATTTTGCTTAATAATGGTCACAAAATGCAAAAGTAGTGATGATGGATGTGAAGTTCTTCCCATCAGTGAAAAAGTGATAATTCTCCATTTATTGTATATAATTTATCAATTAAACGTTATCACATGTATGTACGTAAACGAAAAAGAACTTATATATGGGGTTCGCTACCATCCACGGTTTCAGGTATCCATGGTAGGTCTTGGAACAATCCCCCACAGATATGGGCGGACTACTGTACATGCCAGTACTGCAAGAATGAATGAAGAATAGATACAAGATTGCAAACTCTTCAGAGAGCCTCTGAGATAAGATGTAAATTAACAAGCATGAATATGAAGCACAATATGACTGATGTGTTTCAGGTCTTATCCTATATGTTATTGTAATTAACAAAAGATTTTGCTCATGAGAAGCTGAGAATAGAGCAAGTGTTGCGAGCGAAGTATGCTGACATTATTATCAGATTACCCCTCTAACTGCAACATACCTAACCTTCCTTTACAGAGCAGGCACTACCCTTACTACCTCCAGGATTCAAGTCTGACTAACCTGTTTCCCTGAATCCCTTTATAAAAGTTACCCCATTTACATTCCAACAGCATGTCCATTAAAAACCACTTGTCTCCATGCACTCCTGCCTAACACACTCACTCAAGCCTGTTGGATACTCAAGCCCCTAACACTCAAAACCTCACTCTCTCCCTCCAACCATTCCTGGGAAGACCCCTTTCCCTTCTGCCTTCCACTCCTAATTTAATATTTTTAAGGGATGGGACAATTTTTGACGATAAAAACACTCAATTTTAGGCCGTGACCACCAATAACAATACTAATCAGTGGTCCCTTGATTACGAGTTTAATTTCTTTCCGGACGAGCCTAACTAAATTTTTATTCAAATCAATTTTCCTCATTGAAAAAAAATTGAAATGCATTAATCCATTCCACCCCCAAAAAACACCCCAAAATTTTTTTTTTAGGGTTTTTTAAATAAAAATGTGTTTCGTCCCCCTCTCTCTCTCTATGTCTCTCTCTATCTGGTGAGAGAACTGCCATGAACACAGGTTTACACATGATACGAGTGTCACACTGACCTGAACAAGTAAAAACGTATATAAATTTACAGTCATCCATTATGCCTTTTTCTCAAACTAGTATAGACTTTTTCTGGATTTGTGGGTTTCCTAGGTAATTTACACTATGTATCGTATTTATGTGACCGTGGATAGAGACAGAGATAGACACAAAACGACATAGATAGTGCAGATAGACAGAAGGGAAAAGAGAAGCCAGAGAAGCCAGCCCGCCACTGGTAGCCGCGGCCCCCAACCAACCCCCCTGCGAACATCATTACTCATGTTCCAGAATTTTTTTTCTTTACTTAGGGGGATACGTTATGAACAACCCGGCAGGGTGACCCTTTCCAGTGGGGTCAAAATTGAAAGGTGTTTTAAACATTGGTTATTATCGAGGCTTTTGATATTTCCTCCATATCTCCTGCGAGTGGTGGTGTATCTGAAGCTCGCTCATAACTCGGATTTTGGCTCACAACTCAAAGCAAAAATATTACCAAGCGATGGCTCGTAACTCGGAAAACTCATAAGTTGGGGTACTCGTAAGTCAAGGTACCACTGTACGTACTTAATTTTAGGTCAATACTGACACCATCAAATTTAGCCGATATCGATACTGTGACACCCCTAATATTTTTATCGCTTTGTTAGGTTTTATCTTGAAAATTAGATACATATGCGACATCTGGGTACCTTTAATGTAGACATTTCACCATCCAGTGGCTTTATCAATGCAAATTCTAGGACATAATTTGAAGACAGTTGAACTATATACAAAAGATGAGGTAATCAGTCCCTCAGCCTTGGAGTTGGTGTGAAGAGCACCGTAGCCATGAAGAATCTGGAGCATAGGCAAGAAGGCTGGCACTTATATACTGGCATCAGGTGAAAAGGGGACAGGTAGCAGATGAAGGCATTGTCGATGGTAGGCGGGATTCCCCAGTGGACATAGGTCATACCCAAGGAACAGGTTAGTAGAAGTGAAGGTTGTGCAGATGTCCTCTGAACCAAGATTCCATGATGTTGCAGTGTCTGACATGTTGTACATGAATGGTATACAATACCAACGAGATGAAAATTAGACACATATGCGACATCTGGGTATCTTTAACGTAAACGTTTTGCCATCCAGTGGCTTTATCAATACAAATTCTATCAATGCAAATTCCTAGAATTTGTAGTGATAAAGCCACTGGATGGTGAAATGTCTACTTTAACCCCTTGACTGTCGCAACCCCCAATCCTGAAGTGTCTCCTGGTGTCGCAAAATTTCAAAAAAAAAAAACAAAAAAAAAAAACAAAAAAAATCTTATGAAATGATAGAGAATCTTTTCCCGATTGTAATGACACCAGAAACACGAAATTTGATAAAAAAAAACTGACGGAATTACGCTCTCGCGAAGTTAGCGACCTCAGCGACATTTACAAATTGGAGATTTTGCCCACTTTGAGCCCTATTTTCGGCTAATTCCATTGTTCCAGTCGACCAAACTCATAACTATTTTTTAGAAATCCATTTTTTCTATCGACTGAGTACAAGAAACTGCCCATTTACCGATTTCAACTACCCAATAACATGGTCAGAAATTTGCAATTTGGCCAATTTCACAAAAATTTGAAAATATGACAATTTCAAAATAAGGTCCAGAATGAACAATGCAGACATTCCTGGCTCTAAAATAACATGTTCTTTGTTCATCAGTCATGTCTCCAAGCCCATCTGATATTACTCTTGCTTTCTATTTTGAATTTTTATTCAAACAAAAAATAGAAGATTTACTGTTATGCAGACTACTGCAATACTGTAAGAATTGTATAAATAACGTCAACCCATTCATGACTGCATATTAGAATGGCTAGTTGGACATTTATTGGAAAATGACATCATTTGTTTACTTTTGAACATCAGCAAAAATCAAACATTTCCCCTAATTTGAGCTCCATTTCCAGGTTCTTTTTATAGTAAAATCAATCATAATCACCTCTATTTCTATAAAATGTTTTCCATTCTATCAAATGAGACCAAGAAAACGAGAATACAACTATAAATACTATACGAAAACAGACCACAAACTCGGCATTTTAATTAAAAAAAATGGTTGGAGTTTTTTTTCTCATTATGCACTGCATGCTCCAGAATTTTTTTTTTTTGGTGCACACTGACCACACAGACCCATTCTCTCACATGTGGGCCTACCAGCTTTCTCCTGCTTGATTTGAAGCCGCTAGAATTTATGAGTATATATACGTCAAACACGGTACCTCATGAGACGTATATATACGACCTCGACAGTCAAAGGGTTAAATATACCCAGATGTTGCATATGTGTCTAATTTTCATCTTATTGGTATTATATACCAGTCATAGGTAGTAGGTTGGTAGACAGCAACCACCCAGGGAGGTACTACCGTCCTGCCAAGGGAGTGTAAAACGAAAGCCTGTAATTGTTTTACATGATGGTAGGATTTGTTGGTGTCTTTTTTTCTGTCTCATAAACATGCAAGATTTCAGGTACGTCTTGCTACTTCTACTTACACTTAGGTCACACTACACATACATGTACAAGCATATATATACACACACCCCTCTGGGTTTTCTGCTATTTTCTTTCTAGTTCTTGTTCTTGTTTATTTCCTCTTATTTCCATGGGGAAGTGGAACAGAATTTTTCCTCCGTAAGCCATGTGTGTTGTAAGAGGCGACTAAAATGCCGGGAGCAAGGGGCTAGTAACCCCTTCTCCTGTATAAATTACTAAATTTAAAAAGAGAAACTTTTGTTTTTCTTTTTGGGCCACCCTGCCTTGGTGGGATACGGCCGGTTTGTTGAAAGAAAGAAAGATACCAGTCATGTACAGCATTTACCTTGCTGGTGTGAATATGGGGTTATACTATTCATGGTAAATTCTTAAGGTCAGGCATTTGAAGTAAATGTGGAGTTTTTGTATGCATAGCTTTACCCCATCCCCAGACAATAAGTAGAGGTGTTCTCCTTCATTAATTCATTCACTTTTAATTCTCTTTTTTGTTTTGTTTTTTTTTGTAAAAAATGCCATTCTCCTTTTACTCTGCTTTCCTCTTACTCTATCTAACTTATCAATTAATAATTGTTTTGACATACCATTTGGTCCTCTAAAAATGTGCACATCCATAAGTCTACCCTTCAACATTTTATCTACCAAGACATAGTCTAGCAATATGTTGAAATGGTCTCAAGCACTTTGTCATACTGTGTTTATAATGACAAAAATACAGTGTAAATAGCCCCACACTCTGCAATATAGAGTGAAAAGACAGAACTAGGGACTCATCTTCTCTATCTTCTTTTCAAGGACAAGTACATCCTCATTTCATAAAATAGGAAGACATTATTAGCACAAAGCTTTTTAATTAAGCTTTCTTATAGTTCATGATTTTTTATAATAAATGAAGCAATGAATAAAGTGCTAACACAGTATTATGGCTTTAAAAATTTGTGGTTCTTACCCGAGATGCCCAGCCAATATTCTGTACATACACACGAGACACAGGATGCTTGACCTCACACGTATTCACCAGAAGGTTACTGTAGGTGTGAGGAGTGTGCGGCACTCTCACACGAGGAGCTGAATTTCCCAATACTTGATAGCTAGCAAGTGAATCTTCAAATGATCCAAGCTGATGGGAAAAACAAAGAAAAAGCTTAATATATGAAAGGTATTTTAAACAATAATGAATATGTCTCACTGATAAAAATCCTAACCAGAAGTACCTCAAATACATATTTTTTAAAGGAAAATTTAAAAAAAAAAAAAGATAAGTGCCCTGTTGTAGTGTTGTACCCATTCAAGAATTGGTCACTGATAACATTTCAACACATTCATACTTAGCAGTGTTTCTTCCTCTGCACTCCCCATCCTTGTGGGGATGATCACAGATAATATTTACACGGCTGAATTTATAAGCAAAGAGGTATTATCCTACCTAAAGTTATTCCAAAGTTATGTAAGATATATATATATTCCCTCCCATGGGATCCAACCCACAACAGTTGGTTTGCACCCAGGTACTCTAGTTATTTACTGCTAGATGAACAGGGGCAACAGGTATATAGCAACAGGCCCAACCTCTCCACCAGCCCAGGATCAAACCCAGATTTTCAATTGTAAGCTGAAGGCTGAGTGCTTGTTGCAAACCTTGAATATCAGATTGGAGAAAGGGAGCATAGAAGAAGTGAATGTGTTCAGATATATGGAAGTAGACTTGCCAGCATATACGTCTATGAAAGATGAGGTGAGCCATATAAGTGACAAGGGAAAAAGGTGCATTGAAACATCAGTGGAGACAAAGAGTGTTATCTATGGAGGCAAAAAGGAGAATGTATCAGAGTATAATGGTACTAATGTTCCTATATGAGTGTGAAGCATGGGTTGTGAATGTTGCAGCAAGAAGGAGGCTGGGGACAGTGAAGATGTCATGTCTGAGGATAATGTGTGGTGTGAATATTATGGAGAGAATCTGTAGCTTGAGATAAGGAGGTGCAAGGTTACTAAAAGTATTATCCAGAGAGTTACAGAGGGGCTGTTGAAGTGGTTTGGATATTTAAGAAGGATGGAACAAAATAGGATGACTTGGAGAGTGTATGAATCTGTAGTGAAGACTCCTTTGTGTTTATTGGAAATACAGTGGACCCCCGGTTAACGATATTTTTTTCATTCCAGAATATGTTCAGTGCCAGTACTGACCGAATTTGTTCCCATAAGGAATATTGTGAAGTAGATTAGTCCATTTCAGACCCCCAAACATACACGTACAAACGCACCTACATAAATACACTTACATAATTGGTCGCATTGGGAGGTGATCGTTAAGCGGGGGTCCACTGTACAGTGGACCCTCGGCTAACGAACACATCGCATAACGTTAAATCCACCCAACGAAGCGTTTGAGCTTAAAAATTTTGGCCTGGCTAATGATAAAAAACTCACCCAACGTGATTCATCCGGTACACGTCCACGTTTGGCCTGAGCGCACCTCAGCTGCCCCATGTGTGCCAGTGTTTACAAGCCAGCCAGTGAGGTCGCATCTACGCATACATTCAATACATTTCATATTATCACAGTGTTTTAAGTGCTTTTAACTGCAAAATAAGTCAGCATGGGCCCCTAGAAAGCTTCTAGTGCCAAACCTGTGGTAAAAAGAGTGAGAATTAGTATGGAAATGAAGCAAGAGATAATTGCAAAGTACGAAAGTGGAGTGCATGTCTCGGAGCTGGCCAGGTTGTATAAGAAACCCCAATCAACCATCGCCACTATCTTGGCCAGCAAAACGGCAATCAAGGAAGCTGTTCTTGCAAAAGGTGCAAGTTTGTTTTTGAAACAGAGATCGCAAGTACTCGAAGATGTTGAGAGACTGTTATTGGTGTGGATAAACGAAAAACAGATATCAGGAGATAGCATCTCTCAAGCGATCATATGTGAAAAGGCTAGTAAGTTGCATGACGATTTAATTAAAAAAAAATGCCTGCAACTAGTGGTGATGTGAGTGAATTTAAGGCCAGCAAAGGTTGGTTTGAAGAATTTAAGAATCGTAGTGGCATACATAGTGTGATAAGGCATGGCGAGGCTGCCAGTTCGGACCAAAAAGCGGCTGAAAAATATGTGCAGGAATTCAAGGAGTACATAGAGGCTGAAGGATTGAAACCCCAACAAGTGTTTAATTGTGACGAAACAGGCCTGTTTTGGAAGAAAATGCCAAACAGGACCTACATTACTAAGGGAGAAAAGGCACTCCCAAGACATAAGCCTATGAAAGACAAGCTTGCTCTGTTGTTGTGTGGTAATGCTAGTGGTGATTGCAAAGTGAAGCCTTTATTGGTGTATCACTCTGAAACTCCCAGAGTGTTAAGGAAAATCAATGTCCTCAAGGCTAATTTGTGTGTGATGTGGAGGGCAAACAGTAAGGCATGGGTCACTAGGGACTTTTTCTATGACTGGTTTCACCATGTGTTTGCCCCCACTGTGAAAAATTACCTCCTGGAAAATAAATTGGACCTTAAATGCCCCCTGGTATTAGACAAAGCTCCTGGTCATCCTTCAGACTTGGCAGAGCAAATTTCTGGGAACATGAGCTATATCAAAGTGAAGTTTTTTGCCTCCTAATACCACTCCTCTCCTGCAGCCCATGGACCAGCAGGTCATTTCAAACTTCAAAAAACTCTACACAAAAGCTATTTCAAAAGTGCTTTGAAGTGACCTCAGACACTCGATTGACTCTAAGAGAGTTTTGGAAAGATCACTTTAGTATCCTCAGTTGTGTAAACCTTATAGGTAAGGGAGGGAGTGACTAAGAGGACCTTGAACTCTGCTTGGAGGAAATTGTGGCCAGAATGTGTAGAAGAGAGGGATTTTAAAGGGTTTGGGGCTAACCCTGAGAAGCCTATGCCAGTAGTGGAATCTATTGTGGCATTGGGGAAGTCCTTGGGGTTGGAGGTTAGTGGGGAGGATGTGGAAGAGTTGGTGGAGGAGGACAATGAAGAACTAACCACTGATGAGCTGCAAGAGCATATGCAACAGCAAGAGGCCAGACCTGAGGAAACTGCTTCAGAGGAGGGGAGAGAGAAATTGAAGAAGTTGCCTACTTCAAAGATTAAGGAAATGTGTGCAAAGTAGGTTGAACTGCAAACCTGTATGGATGAAAATCACCCTAACACAGCTATTGCAAGCCATGCTGGTGACCATTACAATGACAATGTTGTGGCCCATTTTAGGCAAATCTTAAAGGAACGCGAGGTACAGAGCTCTATGGACAGATCTGTTGTACGACAGAGGTCCAGTGACTCTCAAGCTGGTCCTAGTGGCATTAAAAGAAGAAGGGAAGTAACCCTGGAAAAGGACTAGCTACCTCAAGTCCTCATGGAAGGGGATATCCCTTCCAAACAATAACAACTTCCACCATCTCCCCTCCTCCCATCCCATCAATCATCACCAGATCTTCAATAAAGGTAAGTGTCATGTATTCTTTATTTAGTACAGTAGTAATTGTGCATGTCTTTTTGTGTGTAAGAAAATGTATATTTCATGTGATAATTTTTTTTTCATACTTGGGGTGTCAGGAACGGATTAATTTGATTTCCATTATTTCTTATGGGGAAAATTAATTCAGCTAAAGACAATTTCGTCTAACGATGAGCTCTCAGGAATGGATTAATATCGCTAGTCGAGGGTCCACTGTATAACAAAACCAAAGCCATATACTAAGAACACTGGGGTGAGGGGAGATTAATTTTTGAGTAGTCTGTAATGCACTCCATGAGTCCAAAATAACTAAGAATGATGAGGCAGACATGGGTGCACTGTGTACAATAGCAGTGAGAACTGGTTATAATTCTGCTGTGAAAACACTGGCTGTTTCTAGTAAATGACCTTGGATTATTCTTTTGGGAAAAGCAACTGAATACCAAACACCACCGAGGAATTTAAAACCTTCAGTGTATAGTGCAATAGCAGGAAAATGAGAATGGAAATGTTGAACAAAGAGTGAGTATGAAGTTGTAGTAGGCAAAGAGAGCTTTTGCACATGGAAGAGGGGAAGGAAAAGTAAAATGCAGGGTGAACATTAAGCTGAGGCAAATCAAGGAAGTCAACACAGAGTAAATATGGAGAGGAAATAGGCATAATAAATGGGATAATGATTAAACAAATCAAACATACTAACATTTGTTTACATTATAGATATGGAAGGATTGTGAAGGTTGTAGAAGTGGACAAATAAGACACACAGGGCATTGTGTTGACCTTGCAGAGAGAGGGTATTCGCCTTTGAGTATGGGCTCTTGACTGGGGAAGACTGAAAAGCCCCAACACACAAATGTAACCCTAGATTATGAATGGGATCAAGTTTAGAAGGAATAATAGGGGGAGGATGAAGAATATATTTGATCACACAGCCTAGTTTACATAAAATTAAGGCTGAATGAAGGTAAAGACAGGTTTATCAATCAGTCCCCCATGAAAGATGGGCTGGAGATTTAACCCTTTGAGGGTCACCAGACCCTCTCAGAGACTTGTTCTCAGGGTCACCAAAATTTAAAAAAAAAAAAAATTATTTTTTCTTATGAAAAGATTGAGAATGTTTTCCCGATCATAATGACACCAAAAGTATGAAATTTGATGGAAAACTTACAGAATTATGCTCTCATAAAGTTAGCGGTCTCGACGATGTTTACGCATTGGCGATTTTGCCCACTTTGAGCCCTATTTTCGGCCAATTCCAGTGTACTAGTCGACATAAATCATAACTATTTCACTAGAACTTCGTTTTTTCTATCGAATGAGTACAAGAAACCACCCATTTACCGATTTCAACTATCCAATAAAGTGGTCAGAATTTAGCAATTTTGCCAATTTCACACAAATTTCAAAAGATGCCAATTTCCAAATAGGGTCCAGAATAAACAATAAAGACATTCCTGGCACTAAAATAACATTTCTTCTGTTCATTAGTCACATCCCCATGCCCCTCTTACATTTCTTTTGCTTTCCACTTTGAATTTTTATTCTCACAAAAAATAGAAGATTTACTGTTATGCAGACTACTGCATTAGTGTAGAAATGGTATAAATAATATCAGCGCACTTGTGAAAGAATATCAGACTCACCAGCTGACGTGTATTGGAC